AGCTATGCATGTAAAATCTAGTATGTTCTGGTTATTAAAAATATGAAAGTAATAAACCCATTTACAGAAACAACTGTTTGAAAAAAGGAAATAAGGTACAAAAATCTATGTTCTACTGCACTGAGCACTAAGTTGCTCATCACCAAATACAACTACTTTGGGAATGTGCACATTTTAAGCCCTTTTTCCCCTGCAGATTCCTCTATAGGTAACTAGTTAAACTTTGTCAGAAAACTAAAACCTTATCAGGTATGTTGCAGAGTTTGAAACTCCAGAGAGTTCTTGTTTATTCAATAAATCAAGAGCATCTCTGTTACCACTAAGCTTCTATGCATGATCAAAGATATCACTCTTCAGAGTGAAAATAAGCTACAACTGTGGTTTCAGGCTATGCTAGTTCTGAGATGTCAGTCCAAAGTGTTAGGAAAATGCTACGTTTCCAGAAGCTAATACCTACCAACTGAGCAGGATTATTTCCCAGCTTTCTGAAGTTCTTCTCACTCGCAAAAAATACATGTGAACAAAACCACCTGCCTTAATGCTGATGAACTTCAGCAAGTAAAAAAAACAAACCCAAACTAGATTTAAAATACAAAGTCCTAACTTTAAATTACAGACTGTAAATCCTGTACACGAGGAGGAATAATCCCATGCACCAGTACAGTCTGAGGGCTGACTGGCTGGAAAGCAGCTTTGTATAAATGGCCTGAGGGTGCTGGTGGACAAGTTGGCCATGAGGCAGCAAAGAAGCCCAAGAAATTCTGGGCTGCATTAGGAAGAACATTGCCAGCAGGCAAAAAATAAAATAAAGGCAAAAGATACTAGTTTGGACACATCTTGTTATTACTATTTTCTGTCCTGTCTGGATGCCCAAATGCAAAACTGAGAAACTTCTTTTCATCAAACACACTCTACCTCTCTAAAATCTGTCGTCTATTCAGTGATAGGATAACATATCAAATATTAAATCTGTGCTATCAGCACACACTAGCCTGCATATTAATGAAAGTGTACTTGATAAACCATCAGATTTTACACTGTACTAGAATTCCTATTTTTATCACTTTATATATTTAAGAGTATCATACAATGAATTAGTTAACTCTTTATAATATACTTAAAAAAATAATCATAAATGTTACACTTCTATAACTTGTATGAGAGAACTGGGGAAAAAAAGGCTGAGCAACTTACAGGGACTCATACAAGACCGTAAAGTATTTTGGTGCATAACCAGAAACAGAACTTCTGACAAACATGAGACCACTGCTGTTTTTGAGGCTACGGTACACTTTGAAGGTCTATTTTATCACATCAACATCTTTACCCATCTGCTGTAAAACTTAAGATAACACGATGTACTCATTTAATGTGATACCTAACACCTAAAATAAACACGTCAGAAAAACAACGACAATGACTGGCAAGAAAGGATTTTAATAAGAATGGACGTTTGCGTGCTTGATAAAACAGCATGAGCACTTGCACATGTCCATACATTGGGAGTTACACCAAGAGTGCCAACACAAGCCAGGTGCTGTTGTCTTTTACACACAAATACTTTTTCAAACATTGAGTTACTTTTGCTTTTTCAGAAAGGTAGCAAAGTCCATAATACTGAAGATTTAATAACTGGCTACTACATTAACAGATGGCTATTTTCAGCATTACTAACACCTTTGCTGTTATTTGCTTCAAAAAGGCTGCATAAATTAGATGCTCTCTACCTTAGTCGTGATTTCACCAAATTTTCCACCTATGATCTATTTTGCACATTTTTTTTTAGGTAGTTTAATACATTGATTGTGAATGTGGTGATACTCATCTAATCAGGCCACCTAACAAAGTATCTAAAATTCTACTTAAATTTCTTCCAATGAAAAGGCAAAGCAGCTGATTTAAACGGCTGCTTGCACATTCAGTATTTATGATGGGAATCTCACTCCAGCGGTTGATAGCACCAAGTGAGAAGGTTTAGCTCAGCTGATGCCAGCAGTGATGGACAGCCCTGAGGAAATTCTTGTTTGCTGATCAGATCAATCACTGAACAGAATGCAAAAGAGAGGATGAGGCTCAAACTAAGTTCATATTTCTATCTCTACGCAGAATAGGAGAGGAAGAAATGTACCATAAAGCATCATGTGCAGCTATTACAAAACCTGCCAAAGTGGTTTTTACATGAAGTAAATTTGGTGGCTTGGTATGCTATCAATTTTCACTTGAAGCCACTCAAATATTCAGTAGTAAGTAGTCAGATTATGCAAGAAACCATCTTGGAACGTTGAACTCCAGGAAGCACCAGCGCAATCAATATTCTGTCCACAAACCAGCGAGAGATTCCTTTCAAAACAGCTGAAATGAAAAGAACTGAATGGAAGTCACGTGAAGCAAGAGGACTTGTCTCCATTATTTACTGGATTATCAAGACTTTCCCAGGATAAAATACATTATTTTGCAAGTCTTGAAGGAGTTTATAGGTACATCAATAAATTACTGTTGATTTCTAATACAGCACTTGGTACTAAATTTATTTTTAAAGAAGTTTTATATACAGTTACTGTTACCCTAAATGAAGAACAAATGAGATTATACTTTGCAGGCTTATACACCTTTAAGTAGCTCCAGTTACTTTGAATGCATTAATGTGTAACTATCAGAATAAGCATGATTTGATTATAACGTAATTAAATAACGAAAGAGTTACACTGAATTAAACATCTGTTCTTTTGTAAGTAGTCTGTGGAAATGTATTGAGATTACTTCATCGACAGACAGCGAAATCACTGCTCATAAGAGAAGGAGAGAGAATTAGGATTTGTACCAGGCTCTCCAGCAACACTAATTCAGAGTCAAGAAAGTTGACAGAAAAGAAAAAAAGTTGTGAAAACTTTATAGCTATTTAAATATAGTAAATGTATACAGTAAATGTAGTAATATATTACATGCTTACATAAACCATATACATAGCAAATACAAAATGCAAGTATTTCAATTTATAGAAGTACCTAAGAATAATATAGAAGTAAATATATATTAAAGAGGGACACAGAAATGGTGGGAACAGGAAGTAGTGAGAGACTGAAGAAAACATGAAGTCTGGATATGAGCTGGAAAAAGAAAGGGCAGAGCAAGGTGGGAGGTGGTAGAAAAATCAGAGCATTTTCAATTATTGAAAGAAGCAAGCGATGAAAAAATAAAATGAGAAGTGGAAAAGAGGTTCTTGTTAAGAGGTATAGATGGGTGGTAAGGACCCAAAAGAACCAAATTCAGTAAGAAACTGAAGAAAATCTGAATTTCTGTACCCATAACTAAGTCTCTCATGTCTATACAATGCCTGTGAGAAGCAGATCTATGTACTTGGTTTCTGTTCACCTTATGGCATATCCTGTTGGTTTGGTACCTTTTGTTACACACTTCTAGAAGTAAAGCAGCAGTTAGAACCATAGGAGCCTAAAGCGTAACCAGAACCAAAAAAATAAAGGGTAGCTTTAAAAGTTGTGTATGCTTATATTGGACATACCATAATATCTAAGCAAAAACATTATTCAAAATGAGGTAAGAAAGAGAACTACCTTGAAAGGAAAACATAACAGAAAAGAGAAAGGGAAGTTGCTTGAAAACTGGCAGTTTTCTGATCTAGTCAACAGTTTCCAGCTTTCCTGCCTACAGTTTCTCACTTTAAATTAGCAAAAATATTAGTATTTGCTGCACCAAGTTCTTGACGCATAGAGTTAAAACTGGCTTTAAAACAAGTATTTTGAACTTGGTGTTCTCAAATTTCCATGCTCCATGGAGACACAGAAATAGTCTCTGGTGAAGATCTGTGCTAAATAAGTTAATCTATCCTTTGAAGATTTTCTCAAGGTTCAGATTCTAAAATCATGTTGGAAATTAAGCACGCCTCAGAGGAATGGATACTGTTACCAAAACGATGTACGTTATAAACGTCCACTAACTCACAAACGACTGAGGCTAGAGTACCTGCACAGAGTGTTATACATCCACTGAGGAATTTTAATAAATACAACTCAATTCACACTGGCATAGTCTTTGTTAAAATAACAAGATATTCCAAGATTACTCTCTTTACATGCAGGCACAGAAGATAACAGAATTACCCAGCAACAGAAAATAGCACACCATCCTAATTTCATGAAATAGATTATTCACATGACAATGAACATTGTATCTCTACTAAAGTATAACTGAAATAACATTTTCTCAACATCTCATTCTGTCCTCTTTGACTTAAACACACAAGAGTTGTTTCCCCTTACTCAGACCATCAAGAAAAGCTGACGCCTATGGGTACAAATGAATACAAAAATCCCAGAAAGGCAAACAACAATAAAATTCTGCATCAAATTTACTCAGTTTAATTGCCTGTCGCTCAACCCATCTTTTCTTGCAGGGTTTCTAATGGCATAATATTCCTTTCGTTAATCCAAATCTTAGGTGTTCAACTGTTCAAAAACTGACAGTTGGCTAAGTTTAAAACTGTATTAAATCACGTCACACTGAAAAAGTCTATGTCAGCTGCACCTCTCTTTCTTTACAGTGTGGACAAAATTCTGTCAACTGAGCACTCCATTTGCTGCTCCAGCTTTTTGCCATTTGTTTGGTTTGGTTTTTTCCTCCCTCAGTTATTAGAATATAAATCTCTTTTAGCTCTGAACTAAAGGGCCCTGGAATAGTTATTTATAAACCTCTTATAAATTTTCAGGAAATCCTCATGAGTCAGTATTTTCCTATGTTTGATAAATTCACGTCCCATTTCTTCAGACTTGCCAACATCTTCATTCATGATTTTTAGAATTTGTTCTGTCTTCAAAGACTGTCAGCATTTAAAACATCCAAGAAATAATGAACGTATTAGCTTAATTACTTCTTATTGACTTGATAAGTCACTGTGCTTTAAAGCAAAATCTGCCACCACAGCTACAGCTGCAATCAGGCATTCACTTTACATTAAGTATTCAAGGAAATTTTATGTATCTTACAGTAACCCAACGGAGAAGTCTTGTCCCAACGGCACAAAAATCTGAAGGGTCAGAAATTGCTGGATCAGTCCCACTAGAAACAGAAAAAACAAAACACACGTGCTATGTGCATAGAGCTGTACATTTCACCATCAAGCATTTCAATTTCGTACCATACAGCGATGCTCCTGCAACATTTCCCAAGGTTCACACAACATATGAACATGAGAAAAACCTGAAGAAAACCAATCCAAACTGCAGTAAAAGTGTTGTTTTAAAAGTCCCACCTGTGGCTTTGGTGAAATTCTCATGAAAATAAAAAGAACTTTTAAAATTTTTTTTTACTTACAAGTCTACATTGTGTTCAAGAGCACAGACACCAAACACCCCATAGGAATCATAAAATAAATAATACCTTTCCTATCAAGATTATCTTATGCTCACATGAAGCTTGCTCACACATTTGTGACAATGTACACCTTATTAAACAGCTCCAGAAAACCCCAGGGTAAAAATGCAATCCAGATCATAACAATGCTCAGTGGAGGCTTCTGAATTTTAGAACAACAGCAAAGGAGCTTAACTGAGGGAACAAAACCAAGAAAACTTTCATGATTCAGGTAGCTTCCTATCAAGGGAAAACAGTACAAAGATGTCTAAATTAAATGTATGTTTTCTTAGTTATTCCATCAGAGATGGCTCCTTCCATTGACTCAACAACATCATTAGCTCCTCTTCTGAAGAACGCCAGCTTCCTTCTTCTGTGGGTCAAATCACACTTTAAAGTTTCAAATTATATTTGCATATGTAACGTCTTTTATTTTGGAAAAGTGTGCAAAAATTACAGCAAAACTGGGAGATTGTATACTTGACGTAAATGAAACACTTGAGGTACATACACCTCAAGAGAGGAAGAGACAGAGGCAGAAGGAGACAGAATAGCGACAGGTAGGAATTTGACTGTAGTATTGCAGCACCAGCTAAAGTACATTTAAAACCAAACTTCTTAGCTGTGGTAATCCACAACACTAATTCTTAATCCTCATTTTAGGTTGTAATAGTTTATTGTAACATTGGCAATAAAGAAGTAAAAGTGTGATTTCTCAGAAAGATACATTAGATTAATATTTATTATCCTGAAGACAACAGTAAGTTTCTTTCATAAAAATCAGATTATTCTTCAAGGCCCTAGTGTATGACCAGACTACATGATTTCTGATTTATTTTTTGTGTTTGTTTGGAAAACCTAATTTGTAACAATGTACCCTGCATGAGACATATCCTAGAAGATTCCTGTTTCATTTGGCTAAAACCACCTTCTCAATTTTTCTTCAAAAGCAAGCAGTTAATTCTAAACCAGCTCAATTCATTACTACAAGCCTTACAAGGTACAACACCCTGCAGTGGGGTTTAAGGCATAAATTACGATGATTGCTGTATGCCCTGAGAAACACAGGCTGCTTTGATTTGGGATTATTCTGGTGCAATAGACAGCCAGGGGAAACGCTCCATACTACCAAGACCGATTACATAAACACAGCTGAAATTTGGGTATAACTTCCTTTTACTGATAGTGCTTATTTGATACATAAAAACGCTTTTAGAAATAAAATGAGAAACCGGGCAGGAACCTATTCCATATTCTGTAATGTCAATAGAATTATTGACTTCAAGTGCTGAATGGAGTCAGAAGTTATTTGCCAGACATCAGTCTGTAGCTGGATCAGGTACAGAAGTGAACCTAGCAGCACTGGGACAAGGACCTTCCCTACAGCACTCCAAGATGGCATTTCTATACCTTTTTCTTATTCGTAACTGACTTGATAAAAAGTTAGTGAAAAGCCACTTTGCTAATGCTGAATGATGCTCAGTGTAAGGGAGAATAATACAAGTTCTACAGTCCATTATAAGACTGATGTAGCAATCAGAATAACATCACAGGCACTTAATTCTTTGATACTTACAAGTTTGTCTTGTTTTCTTTGGTAACTGCATTTTGTTGATTTGACTGCTTCCTTCAAGTAGAAAAACAAAGCCTTTTACTCCTTTATCATACTCCTACAAAAAGGAGCAACAAACAAACATAAGCATCCTGACAATTCTCCTCACAATCAACCAGGCTACTAACATGTTAAGCTACGTTGTCAAAAATCAAGTGGCAGACAGTACTGCAAGTGTGACTTCATAGTTAAGATACGATAGTAATAACATAATCCATAGAAATATGGCCTGTACTTGCACGTTTAATGAACAAATAATGCTGACAAACAGGACTTGTGATCCAATGGGCCCAACTCAATCCACTAGTTATGAGAATAGCAAAATTACTTTCTAAATATTTAAACGATAAAATTACACTGCGACCAACCTAGCCCGCAAACAGGCATAAAGAACTAATTTAAGTAGTCATTTAGTCCATCATAAAGATAGAACTGCAAGTGACAACTCCACTGTCAGGTCAGAACCCTCATTACCGTCTAATTTTAAGCTTCATTCACATTTTTCTGTTCTATACTCTAGGTTTCTTTAAAACTTTCATTAAAAACTTACTTTCCGTATAGCTGATGGGCTGCCAAAAACCTTCCATTTTGCTCCCGGGTTCTTGCCTTGAGCACTGAATACTTCAACAAATGGACCACCCTACGATAAAATGCTTTAAGGACACATCCATCATCCAACCAAATACTCAGCACAGAACCATCAACGGTCAGGATGAGTAAATAAGAACGATCTCTCCCCACATCAGGCTGTTACCACAGTCAGTACTGCTGATCAGTCAGACAGCAGAAAATCAGTAACAGCTTCTAGACTACTATAATATAGCAACCCATACAGACAATATTTGGCTTTACTAGAGGATCAGAACATAAACCTGAATGAATACCATGGAATAGTTTAATTCTTTTATTTATAATGTCATTCTCTAAAAAGCAAAATTATTGCAAAAATTCGAAAAACGTGCAGGAGATTAGTCATTTATATTTGAATATGGCTTATTCCTACAACTCAAACAAAGTGAGTTTTAAAACATACTAAAATTTTTTTAAAAAAAGTTGCAGATTGGATGTTTTGTCTGATTTCCTAGGGAAATTAGACTTACACAATCTGTCTACATATATGCACGTTTTTACTCATGTGAGTAAGTCAAAGACATTTTCCAGTAACTTTTCTACTAGTTACCAAATTCCAGCCTGATTTGAGCGGTCTGTGAAATTCACGAAAGTTTTCTATCTTTTCTGGGCCAATTTAAGCGGCCCCATGGGTCAGATCCTATCAGTACCACCATTAAAAAGAACTGTACTCATGCTGCAGCCTTCATGAGGCACCAGAGAATTAATAGCAGAAAAAGATTACAAACACCCCTGCCAGGTGAAAACTCCTTACAAAGAGCATGTCCCCTCCGAGACATCAAAGATTATAACCATAGGCTCTTGGGGAGGTAGGCTTTATCAATTCTGCTTAGGGAATTATTTCCTTCAATACTTTTCATGTTTAATGACACAAAAAATGTGACACCTGATGTATTCAGCCTAGAGTTTGATAAGCACCTTTTTCAGCAGCATGGTTGGCCTAATCTATCATTACAACTACACCGCTCCCTTCTCATTCCTAGTTGCCCACTAAATGCTGTGGAAGATGGCTGGATTTCATGGGTGGCCAAGGCAAGAAACTGCCAAACTCCACTATCAGTTGGAAGGGAGTATGGGGCATCTTTTTGGGAGCACGATCCTGCAAAGTCAACAGCAATTAGGCAACTGTATCAGAAATATCATATAAAGCTGAGATACCCTAGGTAATAGCATCAGAATTACCAATTTTGGGTATAGATGTAGCACATCTGGGACCAGTGGGCAAAAAGGAATTAGGGATGGGTTGCTCTTTTGGGAAGGGACTGGTGCAGAGAAAGGGAGGCAAAGCACAGTGAAAAGGAAGGCCAGGGAACAGGCAGCGTTCAACAACTCTTGTGCTGGACCAGGAGAATAAACCAACCCCTTTTTCTGCCTACACCTTAAGAGTTGGGCCTGCTTCCACGACTGGGTGGGAGCAGAAGGCAAAAAGTCATTGGTGACACCATGTTGGTGTCATCAGCAACTACACACTGTTTCATAACATCTCTATAAAAATACTTAATAATGAAACAAGCCAAACCATTTCTGTATCTAGACTTTTTGCCCTGCAGAAAGAGCCATTTTAAACGAGTTCTCTCAGAGGTGAAAGATGGTAAAAAGTAAAACTATTACAGTTTTACCTGATACTGATTTTTGAACATTTTCCAGCTTTCACAGGCAACAAAGATAAATTCAGCTTCTCAGTCAGTGAAGACACTTACAGATCACCTTGAAAAAAATGAACAAAAAAATTTAGGGTTTGACATGAAAAAAATCTGTAATGAAACCCCATATTTTAGCAGATACGAATACCATTATGAAATACTTTTCATGAGTACAGAATGTATATTAACTGCATCAGAGTGATGCCACAAAGGAATTAAGATCAGAAAAATATTAATATTGATGCTGTCTTTGAAAATGTTCTCTTCATGCATCAAGTACTCAGGGCTGTCTTGCCTTCCAAGTAAAACTAGCAATTTTATCATCAGTCCTTACTTTTAAAAATGAGGGCTTTCTCATGCTTTAAAAATGCTTGAAAATAATACACACTTTTGTATTATTCTCTGTTATCACGTGCCCACTGGAAAACATTAGACTCTATTAAAGAGAAGCTTAACATTTAAGATGGAAAAAGAGAAACATATGGAACAGCTGCAATAGAAACCACTCCATCTAGAGATATTTGGCAGAGACTTCTGAGACAAATTATCTTCTTTCAAATTCAGCATTCCTCTTTGAGGAAGATTAGTCTTAAGACTCAAACCAAGCACTTCAGTTATTTGAGGGCTTCTAAAGCCAATGTGAATTAAGAGATGTCTGCAGTTGGAGAAGCAGAACAGCAGACGGTGAAGGGCCTGATACTGGAAGCCTCCCACATCCCTCTTTGATCGTGCTGAGTGTCTGCAATTTCACCTGAAGTCAACAGAAAGTGAAGGGACCTTGAACGTGAAAGGTAGACGTCAATCTCCAGAGATGGGTAGAATGAGTCACAAGAGACAACGTGCACCTTGAAAAAAATAAAAACCACAAATTCAGATATTAGAAACTTATCCCATGCTATTGTCGGAAACATTAGTTCATGTAAAGCTTTTCAATTATAGGAAACCAATTATAATTTATACTGCCACTGCACATCTAACACAGCAGTTGCATTATACTGCATTTTAGACCATTTTCTAGACAAATTTCTCACTTTTTCAGCTGACATAATTCTTTTAAGAATGACTACGTTAATAGCTCTATTGAACTATGCTAAGTTATGAACTAGAGATACTAGAAATGTTTTTACTTGTTACTATTTTTACTGAAGGAGGTATGAAGGAAGACACCGCTTTTTCCATGGAGCAAAGCCCTTTCATTTACTTTTGCTTTAAAAAAAAAAATCAGTTCCAGATCTGCCAAGCATCATGCACCTAACACAACTCTCCCTATTTCGCAGTTCTGTTATGCCTCATTACATCTCAGGGACGAATATTAAATATAAATAAATGTGAGGGATCCTGACATAAGAGTTGCTGTATGAAAAGCGTAAAATTCTCAGATTGAAAAGATTAACTCATCTCTTTCAGAGACTACTGCTAACATTCCAGTCAGAAGTCTTCTGCTGACTGTATTTTGGAACAAATAGTTAGTGTGCAGTATGTAGAGACCACTACCATGCCATCTTTCAGGATGGAAAGGCTAAACCTACTTGGTAAAGTCAGCAGGCACTGTATTTGCAGACACTGCTGTAGTCAGAATAGAAACACAAAGTAAAACTTTGTTCTCTTCACTGTTTACTCAGTGCACCCAGCTTTCATAAGAGCCAGTCCCCTCATGGCAAATCACACGGGTATTTGAAGGAAGGTGCAAACATCTCTGCATATAGTGCGAGTGGCAGGCATCCTGATATACTGACTTGGGTTCAAAGCTGTGCTACTACACTTTGCCTCTCAGCACTGCTTATTAGCTTTAGCTTGACATCACTAATTTATCTGCATGCTGTACAGTATGGAAACAGTTCTCAGTTGGCTCCAAGCACACAAAGAACATACAGGCTCTGGTAAAACACCATGAGGACACACACCTATATCACACAAAAAACTTCTGCTATTCATTACTTCTTAAATTTAAGTGGAAGACACATGTGTCTGAAAAGTTGTCATTCAAATGATACACTTCAGACTTACTGAAGGACTAGAAATCTCACAGCATCACTAGAGATCTTCACATTTTCAACTAAAGTTCACTCTTACAACATGGGTTAAAATTGGTCACCAGTGCAGTTGTTTTTTAAACTGACATACAGATGCAAGCCAGGTTATTCACCAATTTGCAGAACATTTTATACAGACTTGGAAAACTGATGACCCTTGTAACGATCAAATTCATGACAAGGTGACTCTTCCTAACTTTAGTGAAAGGTAATCTAGACCCAAAGTGTGTAAGCATTTGTGTTAGGACAGCTCATTCATCCTACAAAGCTGATTACTGTAAACACTTCAGGGAAATGTCAGTTTGTTTTTCATAAATGCAGAATACTGCGACACTGCAATACATTTTTTCCTCATATATTGCTTACTTCTAACTTTCCAATTCCCATTAAATTACTACAAATGAAGACCATGAATTACCTTTACTATTACGATTGGTAGCTATTAAAAACACTACAAGAATGACCTACTTGTCATGTAATTACGGAGGTAACATTAAGAGGTGCTTTCATCATGCATCAAGTATCATTGTCTTTAGTTATGGCAACCTAGGCTTAAAAAAAAAACCCAAAAGATAAAATGGTCTGGAAAATTGATAGTCACAATATTTTCCCCCTTTTCATCCTTCCTCCTCCTAGTCTCTCCAGAAATTCTAAAAATCAAGAGTGCTTAAAATCCAGAGGGACTACTTTAGAAAAATCAACAGCATCTTGAAATATGTCCTCAATTTTTTGCATATTTGTCAAACAAATAGATATTTTATGACATCTTTATAGAATGCCATAAAGTAGCAGTTCTCTCATTTTTCAGTCACAGATCAAACTTATTTTTTTTATTGCCCTGAACTATGTACTTTAGTACCTCTGTCCAACTGGAAATACAGGCTTCAAGCGTCAGTCAACGACAAGCCATCAAGAATGTATTTTATGAAGTTAAGTGCCAATGAGAGATATTTATCTTTGGAAGAACAGATTCCTATCAGGATTTACCTTGTGAGGTCTTGATGTGTGCATTGACTTTGATCATTAGTTTCACAGTGTTTCTTACACTAAAAATAAAGCAGCAGCAGTCCAAAGGGCCCTCTCATCCTTCCATTCACACAAACCGCTTAGGACCCTGCAAAAATATCTTCACCTTATGTCATCTTCTTACGTGTATTTCTTCTTCAAACTAGAATGCTTCACATTCAAATGTTTCAAAAATATTTTGTGCTTACGTAGCCCCATGAGTCAATTGGTCTCTCGTAAGTCACAAGCGAGAAAGTATTCACAAATAGTAAATGCAAACAAACTTTCATGCTACTTTAAATTACTTAATATTAAGCACTGTCCTAATCCCAAGGGAGACAGGGATGGACAGACTTCTGCAGTCCTAATAACCTTTGTAATCACGGTTAACCTCTTGATTTAAGAGGGACTATTTACATAAGTGAGTACATTTTTATGATCAACATCCCAGTGTTGAAAAAGCTGTATTTATTTAAGATTATTTTGTTTCACACTTTAGAATACAAAAAGTGAATTGGCACCTAGTACTAATGTGCATTGAAAAAATGACACAAATATACAATTTCTGGCAGGGAACATAGGCTTGGACCCAAGATTGTTCATACACAGACCTCAGCATCACGGGCCCAAAGCCAGTGCTGATTTATGGTAGGCTGGGACACACCAGAGAAAGCACTTCATCACTGACGAGGGGTTTTAGTATCTTTCAGACAAATGAATTCCACATACTGAATATTTAAAGCTGGGTTTGTAACACTGCTATATATCTTTTCAAAATACAAGTTAGCATAATAAATGGGCAGAAAGACCATTAATAAACCACATCAAGACTAGCGGTGTTTCAACGTGAAAAGCAGCACGGCCAGCCTTTACACACAAGTCGCAGATTTAAGAAGGAAAATAAAAATTATTTTAACTTTTATAAAAGCTCGACCAGAGAACGTTTACACAAACAGGCCACGATTCAAGCACCAGCACCCTCGCAGGCCGTTTCCCGGCGCCACAAGAGCGGCGTGGCCGCGCTCCGCAACGCCGGTCCAGCTCCCCCGCCTCCCCGCCCCTGGGGCTGACCCGGCCGCGGGGCTCTCCCGCTCCGCCGCGTCCCCATCGCTCGCCACAGTGAACCGAGGCCGCTCAGCCCGGGGAGCGTAGGCTCCCACCGGGTCTCACCTGGGCGAGTGTGGCTGGGGACGAGGCCGCACCTACGGAGGGGGCGGACCCAGCTCCCGCTCTGGAGTGAG